CGAGCCTCGTATTCGGACTCATTGTTGGTCGCTTTAAACCCAATCGGAGAATACCATGGATTCGGATCCCCTCGGGACTCACTAGGAGAAGACCCGCACCAGCTCTTTTTCTGTTCGATGACCCGTCGACGTAGAGGTTCCACGTCAACAGGTTTCGGATAGTTTCTTGCCCGGCTTCGCTAGACTGCTGTTCGCTCGGGTGATAGGAGAATTCCGAGATAAAGTCTGCAACACTTGCCCTTTGATAGTCGACCTAGGCGTGTACCTTAAGTCAACTGGCTCAATTCCATGGCCCATTTGAGCAGCTTACCCGAGCCTCTGGTTTCTGGAGGACCTGCCTGAGAGGGTACCTCGTCATTACGTTAATCGTGTGGGCATGGAAGTAAGGTCGCAGCTTTCTGGACGCGACCAGTAGGGCAAAAGCTAGGCGCTCCATTTCCGGTACCGCATCTCGCATCCGATAGACGCTTACTTGCATAGTATACCGGCCACTGAACTTTTTCCTCTTCTCGTATCAAAGCTGCGCTGACCGCGAACTGAGACACGGACAGGTAGACGGCGGATTTCTTGTGGAAGTGGCTTAGAGAGGAGTGTGTGGCTTCCCAAGATGCTCTTTTATACTTTGGAATGCCTGCTCGCATTCGGAAGTCCACTCGAATTTCTTATTGGCTTTCAGTACGTTGAAGGATGGTAACAGCGTGTCTGTTAGCCTCGATATGAAGCGACTAAGTGCCGCTATTCGCCCGTTCAGACTCATGACCTGCTTTTTGCTGGTCGGACTTTTCATATCGAGTAGGGCTTGGATTTTTTCAGGGTTCACCTCTATGCCTCGCTGATTTACCATATACCCTAGGAACTTTCCTGATGATACTCCGAACGAGCATTTAAAGGGTTCAGCTTCATTCTGTAGAGTCGGAGTATGTCAAACATCTCAGCGAGATGCGAATATTGTCCGTGGCGGCCTGGATTTGACCAGCATGTCGTCCACGTAGACTTCCATTGTCTTCCGATCTGGTCGGAGAACATTCGGTTGACTAACCTCGGTAGGTCGCACCTGCATTCTTGAGGCCGAAGGGCATGACCTTGTAGCAGTATAGCCCCCGTCCGTGAGAAGGTAGTATGCTCCTCATCTGGCTTATACATCGGGATTTGGTTGTATCCCGAATATGCATCCATGAAGCTTAACAGCTCGTGCCCCGAAGTGGCGTCAACGAGCTGGTCGATTCTTGGGAGAGGGAAGCTGTCTTTCGGGCAAGCCTTATTCAGGTCGCTGAAGTCTACACAGGTTCGCCACTTGCCGTTTGGCTTTTTGACCAGAACCGGGTTAGCAACCCAGGTCGGATAGAGAGCCTCGCGAATAGACCCATTGCGGAGAAGGTTCTCCACTTCCGATTTTAACGCGGCGTCACCGCTCCGGATCCATTGCCCTTCTCTTCTGGCGAACTGGCTTATTTTCACTGTTGATGTTCAGTGGGTGACAAATAACGTTCGGGTCGATCCCGACCATGTCTGCAGCGACCAGGCGAACACATCAATGTTCTCCTTCAAGAAGCTTATTAGCTCGAGGCGAGCTGCGGGCTGAGACAGCTTCCGATCTTTAGCGTTCGGCTCGGTTCTTTGATCAACCGACACCTCAGACTCCCCCCGGACCGCTCGGGGGAATTTCCTGAACTCGCGGATCATGTTACCCTCTGCCGACCAGGCGTGGCTCGGTCCGGCTGATCGCCATAGCGTGGCGTGGTGCACATCGCGTGACGCCCTTTCCTTTGTCGGCCATCGGACCGATTTTACATAGCATTCGCGAGATCGCTCTGCGATCCGCTTACTCCCCTTCCCCGTTGGAGTGGGAACTTCATTTTGAGGTGATAAATGGAAGTGACTGCCCTGAGTCCTCATTAAGGTCGCCCTAAGATCCCATTAAAGGCTGATGGGCAGTCCACGACCGAATTCTGTAACCCTAGTCACTTCGTCGTAATCGCCGAGCGTGACTGGGAGCTGGATCGTTCCATTGGGGATCAGGTGATCCCCTGTAAACCTACAGAGGCATCGAGGCTGTTCAGGTCGGCCTCGACCAGGTTCATTCTATCGAAAGCGGATTTGAACAGGATTGTTCACAGCGCTTCCGTTGTCTACAAGCATTCTGCAACATTATGACACCCTTCAGGGGCGTGATTACCAGAGCATCCTCGTGAGGTGGTGCAAGCGAGCTGCCTCTTTCTCACAGAAGGTGACGGTTCCTCTTTTCGGGCTTTTGGAGGTCGCTCCGATGTATTCATTACCCTAATCGGGTCGTGGCGCACTTCGCGAGCATATCTTTCCTGCACTCCTCGCGTTTTCCCGCAGGTGAGGACCTCCAAAGATTATATTAACGCTGTCGTACCCCTGCGTCACGGCGCTTCTTCTTTCGCTCCCCTTGGTTTTCTTTTGGGAGTCATCAATGTACTCTTTGAAGTGCCCCTTCTTTGAGCTCTTCGATAGCCTGCTTTAGAGCTCGGCACTCATCAGTGAGGTGCCCATTATCCCGATGGTAACGGCAATACTTTTTGCTGTTCCTGGCCGTAGCAGGTTTTCATGGGCTCGGGCTCGCCGAGCAAGCTGGCCTCCTCGGATTTGTCGAGGATTGCGGATACGGACACATTCAGCGGAGTATATTGGGTCGCGTCGCGATCGCGACGAGGAATAGGAGCATATGACTTTTTCTGCTCATAGCGGGGTTTTTTCCCTTTTCGCTGATCGCAGTATCTCCTTTGCGATCCACTCGCCGTTATCTTCCCGACCAGGCGTGTTGCTGGATGTGCCGTGGTCGCGACGACGAGTGCTGCCAATGATTCTCTATCCGAGATGCTTTTCTGCCGGCTATGGAACCTGGTGAGGGAAATGTTGTCCTCAGCCTGCAGTTCTTTCCACAGGTCGGTTGTGGGCGAATTCCACTATTATGAGAGTTCGGATGGACTCTTCTGTGCGTGAGCCACTTTGTTGAGCTCCCTTGGAAAACGATCAATATAAGACTGCAGGGATTCGTCTCTCTCTTGCCTTAATTGCTGGGTAGCTCAAAGGCATTGAAAATTTTCGGTTGGCTTGGAAATGCCGGAGACGCTGTGCTCATCTGAGCCCACGAACCGATAGATCCCGCCGAGAGCGACCTAAACCAACGCTTCGCATGAGAGGTCAGTGTCACGGCCAAGCAGCGGCACTTCGCAAGGTCCGAAACCTGGTGGAGCTCCATCAGGTCGTTGAACTCATATAAATGATCCTCGGATCGTAGTTTCCATCGAACGGTCGCATATCTGGCATTCTGAACCCTGGTGGAGCGGAGCAGCCAATATTTCAGGAAAACGGGATGCAGAGGCGACCTGCGCCTGCTCGTTTTGCTGCTCCTTTACCTATCCAGAGCTCGCTGGACTCCTCAATCTGCGGTAAAGGAGTCAAATGGGGTCGTTTTCACCCATGCGAGCCCGGCCCTCTCGTTGCGGTTCAGGACAGTTCGGAGGTCGGATTCCTCCTCACCTCGCTCGCATTTCCAGCCGCGCTCGACACAGCTGACTAGAGACGCGCGAGGTGGTGGATAACGCGGGGCACTTTCACGACCCTCGCGGTGGTATGAACCGCCCCGCGAGGTGTGGTGCCACCCGCATGAGAACGACGGGATCGTTCTGCTGGTGGTGATCGGAATCATCGCGCCCAGCATTTTCGCTCGGGTTTGGTTGCGACGTGGCGTGGGACAGCTCGGAATCTACTTTTTCACCGAGTCTCAGCTTTGCTGACACCCTGCTCGGGGCGCCCTTTGTATTCGCTGGCCCTTGGGAGCCTGTAGGCTTACTTTTTGCCACTTGCTTACCCTTGCTTTTACGCGCTGCAGTGCTCGCGGCGCGGGCTATCGCCCTTTGCCGGCTTTCGCGCGACCTGCTGGCGTTTTTGGCGGTTGCACCGCACCGGCTGTCGCGGACGACATGTCTTGGTCCAGACGGTCTAACCTCTGGTTGACGTCTGGAGAGTATTGTTGAACCTCTCCAGGTAGCTTCGGATGGCAGGGTCCAGTTGCGGAGCCGCCGGGTATTCCCAACAGCATTTTGCGATACTGGAGGTATGCTGGAAGGGTGTCCCTCTGGGTCGCGGGGACTCCTTCTGCATGTTGATTCCCCTGCTCCGGTTCGATTGGCGGGCCATTGTAGCTGTCGACCAGTAGGTCCAAGGTTTTCCTGATGAAGACAGACGCTAAATCAGGCCCCTCCTTCTAGCGCCAAACTGTTATGCTGTTTTTTCGGCACCAACCAATTGTCACGGGTTTTGTTCTTTGACGAATAACGCACGTGATAATGGGTATATGAAATGAATAAATGCTAGGAAAACTTTTAAAGTGGTTCGATGCTAAGGTAGCAAGTCCTACATCCACTGAGTTGTATTGATTTTAGTGTTGGTCAGGTCGCTAAAGCTACTGACGTACGAAAAGTTAGAAAAGTGAGCTACTCTTCTCTTTTTTACAAGTGAGAGAGTTGTTTTTTGGTAATGAATGAACCAACCCCCTTAATGGTGAGGTTTTCTACATTTTATATCGAATCGAAACGTGTAATCATCATTAAATCTATGGTGGTGTGATTGGTCAGCACGTCATCTATCTTCACGTCCCGTTTTCCCTTTTTCCAAGCTGACTTTGCATGACTTGCTGCAGAGATGGACGCGTGTAAGCTCCATGTTTATTCGCAGGTCTGACGTGCGCACATTGTCCTGACAGGGGCAGGTTACTCCTGACGTGACTCCTTCCACGTCAGCTCTTTATTTCCCCGTGCATAACAAGGGTATTATGATAGTCAATTGGTCACATTGTTTGACTTAAACCAAGTACTGGCACATCTTCCTAAACTACTAGCTCTTTACAGAATTTTTTTTGAATGTTCATAAAAATTGGATCCTTTTTATCAGCAAATGCCTGTTGGAGTTTCCTCATCAAGTTAAGACTTCTGCAGAGAACTGAAAAACAATTTTCTAATTGTTGTGAATAGGCAGCAAGACAGCTTGAATTCTTGGTAGGGAAGAGATCACTGGTCCCACTACCTTCTCTCTAGGAGATGCTTTAGGAATTGCTCAGCACCATGACGCTGTCACTGGCACTGCTAAACAACATACAACAGACGACTATGCTAAACGCCTATCTATTGGAGCCTCTGAGGTGGGCTGCAAACTTCCCTGTCTTCATTTTTCTACTTTCCATAGTTCCTCATGCACACCAAATTCTCTTATCAAATGCTATTATTTTTACAGTCTGAATCAGTTGTGGAGCTCTGCTCTATCATGCTTAACTAGTACTGGATCAAGAGATCAATGCGCAAAGCCTACAACGAAATTTAGCCAGGTGAGGTTTGAATGTCTTTTTAGATAAAGTGAGACATTTCCAAATATCCATTAATTGAGAAGTATAATTCATTTCTATTTTTCAATTTTTTTCTCATCTTTGTCAAATGTGTCATTCACACCTCAAGTTACTCTTGTCCTAACTTTGCTGCTTCCTTCCCCATTTTCTTTTTCAAATTTTGAACAGTGTCCATTACTAAATATCAGTTACTGCCCTCCAACAGAGGAACATTTTCGAATGGGAAGAATTTGGTAATCTTCTTGCACTTTTTTATTTTTCGTCATAATGCTTTGCTAGAATATTAGTTTATTTCTTATAAATGGTTACTTTCAGGTTTAGTGGCGTATAATCCAATTGGATGGAAACGTACTGACTTTATAAGGATACCAGTGAGTACATTTTTGTGCTTTATCAATGATTAGAAATAAGAACATTTTTGCTGAGAAATCTACTACAGGCTTATATTAGTATAACATGCCTTCAATATGATTCGGAAATGCAATATCTTCCAGGTTAAAGTTAATAATCTTGTTGTTAAAGACTCATCAGGCAATGTAATTGATTCCCAATTTGTACCTATGGATGGTGTTACAAACAACTTAAGGAAATTCTACACAGCAGCCTATTTGGGACATTCATCAAATCAAGTCCCTAAATATTGGCTTCTCTTTCAAGCATCTTTGCCTCCACTAGGATGGAACACTTATTTCATTTCGAACGCAACTAATAAAGGTAAACAAGAAGCATAAACCATGTAAAAAACTGTTTTATGGTAATTCTTCTATGCTATAGGCTTTTATTTTCTGTTCTACCATGATTCAGTGGAAAGAAGTAAGAGATATCTCTCTGCAATGGACTGTCCACAGAATGATGACATTGAAGTTGGTTCTGGAAATTTGAAGATTAACTTTTCTGGAACCACTGGACAACTTAAACGAATGCATAATACGAGAACAGGGGTCAGCTGTTTCACACTTCCTCATAGATGCATATGGGCCATATCATTAAGTTAAATGTTGACACATTAATGCGAGATTATTGTAAAAAGATCACCAAGAAATTATTGCTGCATTTTTCTTTTTCCAGGTTGAGGTAGCACTACAACAGAGCTTCCTCTGGTATGGTTCAAGTACAGATGATCAAGTAAGCAAATATTGTGTGGTAGGTTAGGATATCAAAATTTAGCTGTCGGGCTACTAGCTAACATTGCATTTTTATATCCTCTTTAGCAGCCTTCCAATGCTTACATTTTTCGGCCTAATGGCGCCCCACCAAATATAGTTTCAAGATCAGTAAGAGTTCTTGCTTTCCTTTAAATATATCCATTCTATCATTAAACAAAACCTATTATAAGAAAGTAACACATAACATAAGAGTAAAATTAATCTGACATTAGAAGCCTAGCCTACTTTATCACAGTGACTTCACAATTTCCCATTTGCTATTTTTATTTATCTCGTCAAATAGTTTAATAGCATTCAATAATCTAAACCTATTATAAGAAAGTAACACATAACATAAGAGTAAAATTAATCTGACATTAGAAGCCTAGCCTACTTTATCACAGTGGCTTCACAATTTCCCATTTGCTATTTTTATTTATCTCATTAAATAGTTTAATAGCATTCAATAATCTGGTAATTACATTAGATCTGTCCTTTACTAATCTCGTATTTATTTATTCCAATATTTTGTTCGATATGCAGGTTCAAGTGCGTGTTGTATGTGGACCACTGGTCGATGAAGTTCATCAACAATTTAGTTCATGGATCTACCAGGTTTATCAATATTTTTTTACTGTTTTGCTTCACTTGCTCCAATTTATTTTGCATTATAAGTTTGAAAAATGCTTATGTTTTGGTTCAACATTTTCCTTCTTAATCTTTTTTACAAAGGAACTGTTTTCTCGTTATCCCGTTAAGCAGGAGGTGTCTATTAGAATTCAAATTCAACAGCTAATATGATTAATTATTTTTAAAATGATTATTTACAAAATATGATTAATAGTTTTTTAAAATAACAATTTTTTATTAATTTAGAACATATAACATGTTACAACATATACATGGAAGACGAGTCTCAATATTAGTTCTAGAAAATGAAGGGCTTTATACAGACGATGTAGTAAACAGGTATGTGTGTGATGAATTAGCTTGCTATGGTGGTGTTTGGGGAGGGATGTATCTCATGAAGGTGAAGGCACAAGAGAGGGTGTGAAAGAGAGGAAGAGAGGCTGAAAATTAATTGAAAACTGAGAAAATGAAATCAACATAGTAAATGCCCAGAATTTAAACATTAATCATCTGGATTTCAATTGATAAATAGCTTTTTCTCTTTTGTACCTTAATTTTTTTAATAAATTTAATTATTTATATGAAGGAAATAATCATAAAAAAATCATCACTCGATAACCTGATGGTAAAAAAACAAATGAGGATTTAACATGGTCTCCTAAGTTCGAATCCTATGTTTTTATTGTTTATATTCATTTGTCAGGTCACAAGACTTTACAAGGATAAAGAGCATGCTGAAGTTGAATACACTGTGAGTCAAATTATCTGGCTCTTTTATGCCCCAAGCAAAATAAAATTTCCATGTACTCAAATATATTGGTTTTGATGATATTTATGTTGAAGGTCGGGCCAATTCCAACTAACGATAGTGTTGGGAAAGAGGTGATATCACAAATCACAGCCAATATGGTTACAGATAAAACTTTTTATACTGACTCCAATGGAAGGGACTTTCTGAAGCGGGTAACTCTCACCAAACTTTCAACCCATAACTCAATTACAGGATTACTCTACTTCTTTGATTCATAAATTTCTTTCTTTCTTTATTCTTTGTGAGAAGTATTAGAATATTATTGAGTCCTAGCAAACTTATGCTTAACAAAGTAGTTGGCTGTTGTATGCCTAATTCGTAAGGGATGTATTCAATATCAAAGTATAGGTGAGTTTTTTATTGTAAATATTCTGGGTGACTTAAAAGATAACATGTTCTGGTCATTTCTTTATGCTCTTGGCTTAAGAGCAGCTTAAAACCATACTAATTTCATATTAGTGCTCTCTATTTAAACTTGAGATGTTGGAAAATGGCTTTCCACTTAGTTTTGTAAATAAAAACATGTATTGTTAATAATCTGTTGTTCATCGTCATTCAGTTATGTTAATTAAGACATAGTGAAAGTTTATCAACTATTGTTTCTTTTTCTTTACTCTTTATGTTCAATATTTATACTTCTATGAGTTTCATTCACCATAAAAAAGTCAATAAATCCTGCCCTTATGCTCTATTGTTGTTGAAACCTATATGACTCTTTTCAGGTACGAGACTACAGAGCTGACTGGAATCTTTCAGTTAATCAACCTGTAGCAGGGAATTACTATCCTGTAATTTTCTTAACCCTATTAGTGCAAAGTATTATTTACCTAGTCTTTGAATTTACAAGTTTTTCAAGCTCTTTATGGTTTGGAACAACCCTTTAACATTGGACTTACATAAATAATATGATGTTAAGAGTGATATCTATATTTTTGAACAATAATATTCTTTCACTTATCTTTTCCAGCTTAACCTTGGAATTTACACTAAGGATAAGAAATCTGAACTCTCAGTTTTAGTTGATCGTGCAACTGGAGGAGCCAGCATTAAAGATGGACAAGTAGAGCTAATGCTTCATAGGTTTAGTTTCACATTACTCCATATTTTAATACTATCAAGAATTTCCTATTACCTAAATAAATATGTTAAACTGACTTTTCTTTGATTATATACGTACAAGGCGTTTGCTTGATGATGATGTTCCAGTAGTTGGAGAAGCCCTCGATGAAATGGTTTGCGTTGGAGGCAAATGTGAAGGTCTAACGGTATGAAATTGTATGAAAATTGCAGTTCATGCTTTAAAATTCTTTCCATCCATGCAATCATCGAAAGAAGACCTACTATAATTTGGCTGAGATATTATATTTCAGTTGTTCAAAGAGAAAGATATAGTTTACTTCTCTTATCTTGAGTGTTATTAGACCTAATCTAGGATTCCGCTATTGTAAGATGAGAATATTACATATAATATTTTTTACCTTAGATTTTTATATCATTTCTTCAGGTTAGAGGAAACTACTATTTAAGTATTAATGAACTAGGGGCCGGTGCACGCTGGTGCAGGACAACTGGTCAGGAAATTTATTCACCAATTCTTTTAGCTTTCACACATGAGGTGTGTCTTGATTCTAGCCACTATGAGTATCAACTATTGTATAACTCCAATCTCATGCAACAATTTTTTATTCAGAAAATGGAGACATGGAAAGCATCTCATCTCACAAAAGCAACTGTCATGGATTCAAACTACAGCTTGCCTCTCAATGTTGCTTTAATTACTCTTCAGGTGACAACATAAACTCTGTCTAATGAATTGATAAAATTTTCTCTTTGTCTAACTCCAATTTTGCAGGAGTTGGATGATGGAAGTGTTCTCCTCCGTTTGGCACATCTATATGAGGTAAAGATATTATGCTTGATGCTTATTATCTTCAAATTTTTCTCTTGAAATTCTCCAATTAATACCTTGTTTAGAGGCATTGCAGCTAAAATTTAACATAGTGATTCAGAACTATTATATCATAACCAACCCTAGGTGACCGAGTGATTCGATAGAGATTCTTGGATGTATTACTCAAGAAGGCTTGAGTTCGAGTCTCTCCTCAGTTGCTAGTAGGGGTGACCATTGAAACTCTTACCCGATCGATAGTTTCAGGGTCTTGGAAGATTAGTTGAGGTATGGGTAAACTGGTCCAGACACCCCAGTCATAAAAAATAAAAAAAATTGTAACATATATAATAGTTCTTAATCTGCTTTGCTCGTGTTCTAACTTGTTTAGGAGGGTGAAGATGCTGACTATTCCAAGCTAGCCAAAGTTGAACTAAAGAAGATGTTTACCAGAAAATCGGTATGTATTGCTTCTTACTTGGTACTTCTCTAGTAATCCCGGTCAAGTTTTCTTAAACATAGCCTGAATTATGGCCTAAGTTATACATTTCTTTATTAGAAATTTAACTTGAAGTCCAATCCATACATAGCTTAGCTGTTAATGGTATACATTTTTGTGTTTCATGCCCACAGGCCACAACTGGCCTTTCCTGTTTGGAAAGTTTTCAATAGTCATAATTTTAACTCTGAACTACTTTCTGGGTCAATTGGTGCTTAACAATATCAGATAAAAGAGCTAAAGGAAATGAGCTTATCGACAAACCCAGAAAAATCAGAGATGAAGAAGATGAAATGGAAAATTGAAGGCGACAATGGACAAACACAATCCCCAATTAAGGGTGGCCTAGTTGATAGTTCAGTTCTTATTGTTGAGCTTGGGCCTATGGAAATTCGCACTTTCTTGTTAAAAATTTGAAAATAAAGAAATCAATAATAATATATGTTCATCTTATGATTTTATTGATGTTGCTTATCTTTTTTCATTTTCATTCATTCTTATTTTTATTTTTATTTTTTTCAATCGGTTTCTATTTTCTCATTTGATGCCGAAACAGTAACAGAGATAATTCATTCAAATAATAATCACTAAAAAAAATTACCGCTCTTAGGCCAATATAGCTTTCAAATAGTTTTCCCTAAAACCCTAATCTGAAAATACTAATGAAAAAGAAAAATAAACAATTATTACAAAACATCCAGAAACTTGCAAAAACATCCCTTAAAAAAAAGGTCCTAAAATCCCTCAACACAACTCTAAAAGGCTAAAAAATGACAACCATAGGCATGAGTTTTGTTTAGGGGTGGGCGGGTTTGGGTACCCGCCCAAAATCAAAGGAACTAGAACCGGTCGGTTCCTTTGATTATGGTTTAGGTTCCTAAAAGCTTGGAACCAGAACCTGTTCCGGTTCTAGGTACTCTAAAAATTATCAATTACCCTCCTATTTTATAAAAAATGACAAATAAACCCTTATAAAATATAATTACACCCCTAACAATTAAGTGCAAAACATTAAATAATATATTTGTTTATATTTACTTGATGATTGATGCTTGATTGTAAGTATTTAATTGTTTATTTTTACTGATAATAAATATTTAAAAGCTATTATTTAACGTAAATGTTTTAATATATATTAATTTTTTAATCAAGTAATAAGTGAAACTTAATTATTAATAAGAATATTTTGAAAAACTGATCTTTTAATAAAAATTAATAAGATTTTTGATACTAAACCAAAATTTTCTTATATATTTATATGATATGTAAAATATCAAAAAAAAACCCTTCAATGCAAAATATAAAAAACCCCTATTCTTTAGTATTATATCAATTTAATCCGCACAGTATCAATTCCAATTTTTTGAAACCAGAACCTATCCTATTACAAACGGTTCTAGATAGGAACCAAAACCCAAACTAACGTCTAGGTATCATAGATTTCGGTTCTACCTTGAAATTTTATCTACCCCTAATTTTGTTCATTTAACTGTTTCAGAGTGCCCTGTCAAAAATCATCACATCCTGACACTGTTAACACTATTTATCTCGTGGGACCCTGCTCATCATTGCTTTGAGGAAATACAGTGCACTATGTATCTTCTTATGCAAGTTATTTGGAGAATAGGTGACGATCATTTCCAGTATCAAGACGTTGAGTCTTGGCTTAAGCAAATGGACAAATGCTTTGGCTATGTTGACCAGGTGGCGTTTATTATAAAATTTAATCTACCAGGATTTCAAAGTTTCGAGAACAGGTGTCCGTTGTTCCACGCTTCCTCATAGAAACATTAATGCAAGATTATTGTGAAAAGATCTCCAAGAAATGACTGTTGCAATTTTTTTGCAGGTTGAGGTAGCAGTACAACGAAGCTTTCTCTGGTATGGTTCAAGTACAGATGCTCAAGTAAGCAAATATTGTGTCTTTAAGATTAGGATATCTAAATTCTGCTGTTGTGCTACATGCTGACGATCCATTTATGTATCCTCCTTAGCAGCCTTCCGATGGCCTTCAAGTTGGTCAAGTTACGGTATCTATATCCGATGGCCGTAAGTTTATGCAAATTTTAACACAAACCCATTTGAATTAGTGGGCTCAAAAGCCCTAAGTATCAGCATGAGACCTAGGGATGAGAAGTGAGCCGAGCAGTTCGCGAGCTACTCGAGTTTGGCTCGTGAAAAGCTCAAGCTCGACTCGATTGACTTCGAGTTGAGCTCGACCTCGAGTGGCTCGTTTAAGGGATCGAGCCGAGTTCGATCAAGGTGAAGCTCGACTCCATAGGCTAGCGAGCCTCATTGTGCTCGAAGGGCCAAATTGTAAGTCTTGTAACTTTTTTTTTTTAATTTTTCAAGTTTTTAAAATGACAAACAGCCCCCTTCTCACAATAAACTCGAAGCTCGTGCTCGTTCGAGCTCGAGTGTCCACCCATACCACGAGCTCGAGCTCGAGCTCAAGCCCAAGTATTCAAGCTCGAACGAGCTCGGCTCGAACTCAAACTTGAGCTCGACACTGTTCATCACGAACCGAGCTCAAGTGTCTAGATACTCGGCTTGGCTCATATACACCCCTAATGAGACCATCAAACTCACTGCCCATTCATTTTCCGGACTTCATGAAAGTCCAGTTTCACATTGGGCCAAGCTTCTAGCAAAAGTTGACCTCCAAGATGGGTTTATTTGTAGTTCTGTGTTTTGTTTTACACTAGATCTTCATATAGTGCCCACAGCCCAAATAATATTTTTTATACGTAAAAATATTTTATTTTTAAATTTGTAAATCATTTAAGTTTTAAATTAGGTGTGTTATTTTGAGTACGATTTTTGAAAAAGTTGAGCTGGGTTATTATTATGATAAGAGGATTTAAAAATTAACAAAAACACCCCTTATATTTGTTAATTTAGCTAAACACTCCTTGCAATAAAATATTAAAAATCAATAAAAACATCTTCAATCACCCATTAAATGTCGGCAACTAGCTACCACCGTCGAAGGGTGATCGGAAGTTATTGAAATGATGCATGATCGACTAGATCTGACCAGTTATGAGTCGATTTGGCTTTTTCTAGCCAGATATATAGTAGATCTGATTGGAAAATGTTAAATCTATGATCAAATATTTGGTCATTGATGACCAGATTTGGTCATATCGGATAAAATATGGATTCTAAGAATATTGAAATAAATATGTATTTTGAGTAAGATAAGAATAAAACACACTTATTATTTCTAAAATAAGGGTAAAAACATCAACAAAAATGTTATATCCACCGAAAAATTGCACCGAAACACATGGAGGCTGCCACGTTGAACGATTGAATACTGACATAAATGGACGGTCGTCCAACGATTTCGGATGGCCGTCCATACATCCTGGATGGTCGTTCATAGTGGAATGGACCACCGTCCATAAAAAAATGTTTTGTTTAAAAAAAAAAAAAATGGACGCCTGTCCAAATTTTATGTACAGGTGCGTCCATAAAGATGGACGTCCGTCCATAAAATTTGGACGGACGTCCATTGTTTTTTTTTTTAAAACAAAACAATTTGGACGCCAGTCCATCTTTATTCATCTGCCTCTTCTTTAGAGAGAAGACTGTCTACGCATGTAACCTAACTTCTCATCTTCCATAACCTTCTGCAACTCACCCGACGTTGTTTCAAAGCTCATAACCAATGGCTTCTTCTATGCCTTCCTCTGCTTCTTCTTTCTCTACAGCTTTTCACGCTTTCGCACAACCCAAAACGCACCCACTTCTTCTCCATTAACTGCTAAAAAATTACCTTAACGGTGAAGTCATATAAAGTCTTCTCCGTAGCAGCTCTGGCAAAAACACCAAAGGAACGAGCTTTCATGAAAAACCCAAGAAAAGTTACGGATTGCAAAGAGAACCCATGCTGCAAAAAAGCAGATTTAGATGACGCAAGTGAAGATTTGATGGAGGGAGTCAATGAAGAAGCCGTGGAAGGCCATGAAGAAGAAGAAGTGAGTACCTCTTCCAGTTATTTTAAGATGCTTCAAATGTCAACAGTACAACAAGTAAATATCTTAAGATGCCTTGAAACGAATGGCCCAAGATCTCTTTCAGTTATTGCAGGAGAGGACTAGCTCCACTTGAAGAAAAATCAGCTTGAAGAAAAAAATGCCGCTGTTGATAAACTGAGGAGTCAACTTGAAGCTTTTTAATTAGAGTAGGGACGTTCGTCCAAAAATAAAGGACTATCGTCCATTCCTTATAGACGGGCGTCCATTACATATGGACGGCTGTCTTTACACAATAGATAGGCATCTATTCCATATGGACGGTCATCCATTCTAGATTTTTTTTAAAATTTTTATATTTTAAAAAAATGACGGACGTCTCTTATTTACAGGCGTCCATCCAAAATTAAGGGACGAACGTCCATTAACATATGAATACCCATCCAATATTTATGGACGACTGTCCTTATTTTTTTTAATATTTTTTATTCTATTTATCGATAGACGAGCGTCCTTTAGATAGGGACGTCATTCTATAGTAAATAGACCCCCATCTATATTAGAATCCATATAAGTGAATGGTCGTTCACTCAAAAAAATTTAATAACATCAAATGCGTTAAATAGTCTGAGTTAGGGACACGTAGGCTCGTACAAATTTTTGGTGTAAAAACCCTAATGTTTGTAGCATTTTGAAACGTTTAATAATAAGGAGACAAAATTATTAAATTCGAAGACAGGAGGATAAATAAAATAATATTATTTATCATGTTGCGCGGGAATATCCCAAGACAGTTAAAACCGTCATTTATGTCTCTTTTTACGCTTTTCCGATCATCGTCTTCAATCTCAATCAACTCCGTACTCTCTTTTTAACCACACTTCCAAACAAATTGAATCCAATCCAATCTCAAAACAATGTCGTCTCAACAGCAATACCCAAATCGCCCCCAAAAAACAGCATCCCTTTACCCTCAAGTAATTGAATCAAATCCCGAAGCCCCAACAACTTCTCAATGCTCTAATGCTAACTCAAATTTCTCCTCGTCTAATCTCTATCCGACGCTTGATATGCGTGATCTAGTTGAGAATCTCTTCCCCGATTCCGATCAATACGGTGCAACTAAACCCTCGGCCCCGCCCGAACCCCAGTCCGTTGAAGAAACCCTAATTAAAGTTTCCGGTGCCATTCTCCACCTCATCGATAAATCTTATAGCGTCGAGCTCGCCTGTGGCGATTTAAAGATTATTCGTCTTGTCCAGGAGGGAAATACCGTCGCTGTTCTCGCTTCCGTCGCTGATGAGATACAGTGGCCGTTGGGGAAGGACGAAGCCACCGTTAAACTAGACGATTCTCATTATTTCTTCTCTATTGGCTTTCTGCCGGATTCAGATACCGGCGACGATACGAATAAGAGCAAAAGAAAATCTGAAAGTTCAGATGTTAAGGATTCGGATTTGCTGAATTATGGACTTACGATTGCGTCGAAAGGTCAGGAGAATTTGTTGAAGGAATTGGATGGAATTTTACAGGCTTACAGCTGTTTTTCGGTCCAGAAGGTTTCAGCAAAAGCTAAGGAAGCTTTCGATGGTGAAGTGGCGAAGTAGACAGCCCCTTCTGAATTGAAGGGAAAGAAGAAGGAGGTGATGGAGAAGCAGTGCGCGGCTTATTGGACTACATTGGCCCCCAATGTGGAAGATTACAGTGGGACCGCAGCTAAATTGATAGCTGCGGGGTCAGGGCAGCTGATTAGGGGGATTTTGTGGTGTGGAGATGTGACTGTGGATTGGTTGAAGTGGGGAAATGAGGTTTTGAAGAAGAGGATGAGTTCTGGGGAGATCGCAGCTTAGGTTAGTCCCGAGACATTGAAGAGGATTAAAAGGTAATCAGATTGTTACTTTTTGAATATATTTTTTCAACATATTAGTTCTGGTTATTAGTGGTGATATGGGAATGTTTGAATGTGCCGTAGAAATACTAAAGTTTGATAGGACTTGTAAATGCAATGTTATTTAACATGATTGTAGACAAGATATTGGAAAATGGTGCTATATTTGATTGACTCTTTGATGATGGTTGTTTAATTTTGTGCTAACATGCTGTAACGTTTTGGTGTATTGGTTTATATATGGTTAAGAAAGTTACAAAAACGACACAGAAAGTGGCAAATGGTGTTCTCTCTGGCGTTGTGAAAGTCTCTGGACTTTTCACAAGTTCACTTGCCAACTCAAAATATGGCAAGAAATTTTTCAACCTCATTCCTGGGGAAATCCTTCTTGCATCTCTTGATGGATTCAGTATGTTAATCGTGTTAAAGCTATTATCTATATTTTTAATTGAATTGCATACATTTCTGAGTTTTCTTTCTCTTTATCTTGCAGTTTTACTTACAAAACTTCAATATTTGCATGAATTTTAGATCTTTGCACTCGTTGTATTTCAGTTTTGTATCGAAAATCATATTGCATGTTGTGTAGCCTTTGCAGCACTTTGATTGTTACAGCCCAAGAGTTTAAAGTTCAGGGTTATGTCTGTCTTTTGATATACAGAAATTTATACATATGTAACTTTTTCCGTAGGTATTTATTGGGTAAATTGGTATGACAAGGACATCAAATTTGTTTCTGAATGCCACATAAGCTTTATTGGTGAAAAGAATTGCATATCCAAATTTGATTTTTTTTTTTTTTTTTTAACATGATTGACTTAACTATCATGTGTCTCTTACTCTCTTGAATTGGTACATTTAGACCCTTATGTTACAATATATCATTTCTTCAGGTTAGAGGAAACTACTATTTAAGTATTAATGAACTAGGGGCAGGTGCACGCTGGCGCAGGACAACTGGTCAGGAAATTTATTCACCAATTCTTTTAGCTTTCACACATGAGGTATGTCTTGATTCTAGCCACTGTGAGTATCAACTATTGTAGAACTCCAATCTGATGCAACAATTTTTTATTCAGAAAATAGAGACATGGAAAGCATCTCATCTCACAAAAGCAACTGTCATGGATTCAAACTACAGCTTGCCTCTCAATGTTGCTTTAATTACTCTTCAGGTGACAACATAAACTCAGTGTCTAATGAATTGATAAAATTTTCTCTTTGTCTAACTCTAATTTTGCAGGAGTTGGATGATGGAAGTGTTCTCCTCCGTTTGGCGCATCTATATGAGGTAAAGATATTATGCTTGATGCTCATTATCTTCAAATTTTTCTCTTGAAATTCTCCAATTAATACCTTGGTTAGAGGCATTGCAGCTAAAATTTAACATAGTCATTCAGAACTATTAAGTCATAACCAACCCTGGGTGACCGAGTGATTCGATAGAGATTCTTGGGTGTATTACTCAAAAGGGTCTGAGTTCAAGTCCCTCCTTAGTTGTTAATAGGAGTAACCATTGAAACTCTTACTCGATCGGTAGTTCCAAGGTCCTGGAAAATTAGTTGAGATGTGCGTAAGCTGGTCCAGACACTCCGATCATAAAAATAAATAAAATAATTGTAACATATATAATAGTTTTTAATCTGCTTTGCTCGTGTTCTAACTTGCTTAGGAGGGTGAAGATGTTGACTATTCCAAGCTAGCCAAAGTTGAACTAAAGAAGATGTTTACCAGAAAATCGGTATGTATTGCTTCTTACTTGGTACTTCTCTAGTTATCCCGGTCAAGTTTTCTTAAACATAGCCTGAATTATGGCCTAAGTTATGCATTTCTTTATTAGAAATTTAACTTGAAGTCCAATCCATACATAGCTTAGCTGTTAATGGTATACATTTTTGTGTTTCATGCCCACAGGCCACAACTGGCCTTTCTGTTCGGAAAGTTTTCAATAGTTACAAAACTTATGTAGACGTAATTTTAACTCTGAACTACTTTCTGGGTCAATTGGTGCTTAACAATATCAGATAAAAGAGCTAAAGGAAATGAGCTTATCAATAAACCAAGAAAAATCAGAGATGAAGAAGATGAAATGGAAAATTGAAGGCGACAATGGACAAACACAATCCCCAATTAAAGGTAGCCTAGTTGATAGTTCAGTTCTTATTGTTGAGCTTGGGCCTATGGAAATTCGCACTTTCTTGTTAAAATTTTGATGATAGAGTTATGGCAGTACATCTCATCTTCGTCTACTTTGAAAATAAAGAAATCAATAATAATATATTTTCATCTAATGATTTTATTGATGTTGCTTATCTTTTTTCATTTTCATTTTCATTCATTCTTATTTTTATTTTTATTTTTTCAATCGATTTCTATATTTTCATTTGATGTCGAAACAATAACAGAGATGACTAAAAACGTAGAAAACAAGTTATATGATAACCACCATCAAGTTGTATAAAGATCACCGAATTGTACCAGATTCGAATACTGGATAGTATGAAATAACCTTTTAAGTTTCTCAATAATTCATTCAAATAATAATCACTAAAAAAACTACCACTCTTGGGCCAATATAGCTTTTAAATAGTTTTACCTAAAACCCTAATCCGAAAATACTAACGGAAAAGAAAAATAAACAATTATTACAAAACATCTAGAAACTTGCAAAAACACCCCTTAAAAAAAAGGTTAAAGGCTAAAAAATGACAACCATAAGCATGAGTTTTGTTCGTTTAATCTTTTCGGAGTATCCAATAGTACTCATGTTATTTGACTAAGGTATAAATTCAAGGTTCAAGTCATGAGAAAAGCGTTCGTAAGGTGAAAAAAAGACTACAAAACGAAGCAAAGCTGTGAGCTGTGTCCGAAAGTGGCAAAATAGAGGACAGTCTTCGGTTGTAACAGTGGTGGATCTAGTGAGAAAATATCAAATTTATGATCAAATACTTAGTCATTAACAATCAAATCTTGTCATATTTGATTATTAACATGGTTATATCGGGACTCGGGATAAAATATGAATTTTAAAAATATTAAAATAAATATATATTTTGGGTAAAATAAGAATGGGATAACACGGGACAGTAAATCAAACGCACGTATTATTTATAAAATAAGGGTAAAATCATTTAATAATAAGGAGACAAAATTATTAAATTCGCAGACTGGAGGGTAAATAAAATAATATTATTTATCGTGCTTGCGCGGGAAAATCCCAAGACAGTTAAAACCATCACTTCCGTCTCTTTTTACGCTTTTCCGATCATCGTCTTCAATCTCAATCACCTCCGCACTCCCTTTTTAACCACACTTCCAAACAAATTGAATCCAATCCAATCTCAAAACAATGTCGTCTCAACATCAATACCCTAATCGCCCCAAAAAAACGGTATCCCTTTACCCTCAAGTAATTGAATCAAATCCCGAAGCCCTAACAACTCCTCCATACTCTAATGCTAACTCAAATTTCTCCTCGTCTAATCTCTATCCGACGCTTGATATGCGTGATCTAGTTGAGAATCTCTTCCCCGATTCCGATCAATACGGTGCAACCAAACCCTCGGCCCCGCCCGAACCCCAGGCCGTTGAAGAAACCCTAATTAAAGTTCCCGGCGCCATTCTCCACCTCATCGATAAATCTTATAGCGTCGAGCTCGCCTGTGGGGATTTAAAGATTATTCGTCTTGTCCAGGGGGAAACACCGTCGCTGTTCTCGCTCCGTCGCTGATGAGATTACAGTGGCCGTTGGGGAAGGACGAAGCCACCGTTAAACTAGACGGTTCTCATTATTTCTCTCTATTGGCTTTCGCCGGATTCAGATACCGGGACGATACGAATAAGAGCAAAAGAAAATCTGAAAGTTCAGATGTTAAGGATTCGGTGTGCTGAATTATGGACTTACGATTGCGTCGAAAGGTCAGGAGAATTTGTTGAAGGAATTGGATGGAATTTTACAGGCTTACAGCTGTTTTTCGGTCCAGAAGGTTTCAGCAAAAGCCAAGGAAGTTCGATGGTGAAGTGGCGAAGGAGACAGCCCCTTCTGAATTGAAGGGAAAGAAGAAGGAGGTGATGGAGAAGCAGGGCGCGGCTTATGGACACATGGCCCCCAATGTGGAAGATTACAGTGGGACCGCCATAATGATAGCTGCGGGCTCAGGGCAGCTGATTAGGGGGATTTTGTGGTGTGGAGATGTGACTGTGGATAGGTTGAAGTGGGGAAATGAGGTTTTGAAGAAGAGGATGAGTTCTGGGGAGAACGCAGTGAGGTTAGTCCCGACATTGAAGAGGATTAAAAGGTAATCAGATTGGTACTTTTTGAATATATTTTGTCAACATATTAGTTCTGGTATTAGTGGTGATATGGGAATGTTGAATGTGCCTTAAAATACTAAAGTTTGATAGGGCTTGTAAATGCAATGTTATTTAACATGATTGTAGACAAGATATTGGAAAATGGTGCTATATTTGATTGACTTTGATGATGGTTGTTAATTTGTGCTAACATGCTGAACGTTTTAGGGTATTGGTTTATATAGGGTTAAGAAAGTTACAAAAACGACACAGAAAGTGGAATGGTGTTCTCTCTGGCGTTGTGAAAGTCTCTGGACTTCCACAAGTTCACTTGCCAACTCAAAATATGGCAAGAAATTTTTCAACCTCATTCCTGGGAAATCCTCTTGCATCTCTTGATGGATTAGTATGTTAATGTATTAAAGCTATTATCTATATTTTAATTGAATTGCATATATTACCGAGTTTTCTTCTCTTATCTTGCAGCTTTCTAACAAAACTTCAATATTTGCATGAATTTTAGATGTTTGCACTCGTTGTATTTCAGTTTTGTATTGAAAATCATATTGCATGTGTGGTAACCTTTGCAGCACTTTGATTTGTACAGCCCAAGAGTTTAAAGTTCAGGGTTATGTCTGTCTTTGATATACAGAAATTTATACATATGTAACTTTTACGTAGGTATTTATCGGGTAAATTGGTATGACAAGGACATCATATTGTTTCTGAATGCCACATAGCTTTATGGTGAAAAGAATTGCATATCTAAATTGATTTTTTTTTTTTTTTTTTTTTTTTTTTTTTTTTTTTTTAACATGATTGACTTAACTATTATGGGTCTCTACTCTCTTGAAATGGTACATTTAGACCCTTATGTTACACAGAGCAGGAATTCGGTCCTACAATTTGGCAGAATGTTTTGAGTCTGCAAAAAGTTTAAAGGGACTTCTATTTTTGAATATATTGATTCACTTAAAAGGGGTTGTGAAGAACCTTTTGATGTTAGGTCTGAATCTCTGCTTATATTGTTTTTTTTCACTTAAAGCTACTTTGATGCTGTTGGTACTACGGTCTTTACAGTAATGACAATACTAATCAAGTTATCTACTGATAGATGAACATAGACAGAAAATGTAATGTATCAATGTGTTTTAAACTTGTCTTGATTTACATGGATAGAGGGAGCTAGATCTTTTATCTCAAGTAGGTTTTGATGGCCAGGCAGCAGGGTTGAATAGTATTTTAGTTCTGATTTTAAAGAATCATTGTGACCTTCAGTATCATATTCTCTCTCTAAGTTTCTCTTGGAAAAATTTGATGTTTACAGAATTTGACCTGTAATTCATGGCTAAACATTTGGGTTGGCATGGGTTGGTTTGTTTAATTTTAGCCCTAACCAGCCAACCCAAAGCATATTGGGTTTGTTTGAAATTCAATCAAAGCAATCGATGAGAAAGCCCAAGCTTGAACCAACCCAACCCAACCAATGAAATTCAGGTTGGTTTGATTTACATTGTTGATTTGGGCTTAAGCCCAAAAAGTGTTATTTTTTTCTTTTATCCTTTGTGAGATTAAGGTTACCATATGAGTTGGGTTAAGCCCAAATTTCTCTCAAATTTAGCAAAGCAACTGAAATAACAATGTCTGAAATGCAAATTTAAACCCAAACTCTCTCTAGAAATATCTTGTCACTTTACATTTCTTTTTTTTTAGGAAAACAAAATACAAAATACAAACTTATCTTCAATAATGTCATATGCACTAGCAGGAATGACGAGCATTTTTTCTGTTTTCTTTTATTTTTATTTATTATTTTACTTATTTTTGTTTTTAATCGGTGTTGACATGGTAGATTACCATTCAATTCAATTGTCTATGTTTTTTTGAATGGTCATATCACCTCACAAACCCGCTATCAAATGGCATCTTATTGTTAGCCAATTCATAGTGGATGAACTTTTACCAAAAATTATCTTTGGGCTTTATTTTTGCACTACCTTATTAATGTAAATCACCCACTATTAAAATATGGGTCCAAGTTATCAAGATGAGATTCTCACCAAGTGAAAATGGTGGTCCCTCTTCACCAATAATACTCTTTAGGTTAGCCATGCCTTCACCACATTATTCATGCCATGTTCATCTATGTGAACTCTCACCTTGGGCAATAAAATTTCTCCATACGAGTATGGAGAGCACCAACAGTTTAGGAAATGGATGTGATATGTTTCTTTAATGGTTTTACTATATCTCCGCCACAAAAGAAAGATAGATAAATAAGAGAAAATTTTTTTATGTATCAGATTTTTAAGGAAAATATATAATGAGAGAACATATATTAGTGGTAGTTTTGTGAATGAGAATTAAAGTTTGATGCAGTTGAGAGAAATAAAGAAAAAGGCAATGAGTTAAGCTATGAATTGCTTATCTTCTTGTAATTAGAGAAAGAGATAAAGAGGATATTACACATTGTACAAAGAAATAAAAATTGACCAACAAAAACTAAAGCAAATTTAGCAACTGCTGGCTTGCTTCAGGTGGGTGGACTGCTCGTTTGATTGGAAATGCCCATCACAAATCAAATAAAGATGTGATTTTCTTTCTTGGTAGCTTTGGCCAGTCAATGAACTTTGTTGAAATTCAAGTGGCCTATTTATAATAGTACCATTGTTCATGTAGTTTGTGAAATGTTGTCAAAAAATGCTTATTGAATTTAATATAGTCCATTCTACTGTGGGGTTAGATTTAGTGTTTAGGAGATGAGAAATGTTGCATTTTGTACTTTTACCACTGGTTGGAAAATTTGCCTAGTAAATTTGTTTCTTAGTTTCACTTAGGTATGATGATGCTCCTGATTTTGTGAATTTTTTTTTGCTTTATGTAGTAACTTTTTTAAAAAAAAAAAAAAAAAAAATGTTGA